AGTTTTTGGAATGAACTTATTATATACTCGGCAAAAAAAGGAAACGTATAAACGGCCACCCTGAATAACTCCTTTCTCTGTAAAGAAAGATTGCAACGTATTGTTCAGGTAAAATAAAATCAGGTCCAGCCAAGCGTTTCCTATTCCTTGTGTGGCTTCGTTGACTGCGTTTAGTCTAAATCACGTGACCCGACAAAGCTAGACATGCAAATAATCATTCTACACGATATTTTTTTGGCATAAAAACATTTGTACATATGTATTTGTCTTTGAACAATATGCCACGTTTAATGCAAATTAATAGAAGAAGAGCAATTGCAATGGGCTAGTTACTGACCGTCCCAGGAGCGGTCGTCCGAGTGTAACGACGGCTCTACAAGACACCGCAATTTGCTTGTCGCACTTGCGCAACAGATTCCAGACAGCAACCGAGGCAGCATCGCATGCCATAGGCACTCACGGTAGACCTATCATTGCTCAAACTGCAAGGTATCGCTTGTTTTGTGGCAATGATCAAAGACGCGTTGGGCACTTCGCCAACGCATGCGTAGATGACCGTAATAGGTTCGGTGGGACCTCTGGAATGGTTTTGGGAGGCATCTCCCATGGTGTGAAATCCCCATTGGTGATACTTAACATAAACATCACTGCTGTTGGGTACAGAGATCAGATCATTCTACCACACATGTCCTTACAGTTCTTAGACAACTTCACATTCAAATAAGACAGTGCTCGACCATATGTTACCAGGATCTGCCGTGATTTTCCCAAAGCAAACAATGTTCATATTCTAGAATGGCCTCAATATAGACCCCACATATCTCGTATTGTAAATCTTTTAAAGGACATTGACAGAAATACCCCACATATCTCGTATTGTAAATCTTTTATAGGACATTGACAGAAATATCAGTAAACGTCAAAACCCGCCAAATAACTACGTTGGCGGAATAATGTAAGAGATAAATTAATGTTCTCAAGAATTCGAGCATGAACTCACGCACGAGGTGGATACACCAAATACTGAAGTGTCAGTTTCTTTCACGTGGGTATCACTCTTGCAAACATCAGTTATCGTTTAAACGACATCGCACAGACATTTCTTTAACTGTATCGTAAAGAGAATGATCTTCTCTTTATTTTAATATTAAAACTTTGTGGAAACATACCAAATAATAAAACGTAACTAAAATGAGAATAACGTTATGCGTTCCCTTTTTTGCCGAATATAGTATGATGTGTAAAGTGTTGACCGAGTTCATTGTTCACTTTACTAGAACTACTTAATGCGTGTTAACGAGTATTGTATCCATTATTTATCATCATCGTTATTACTTATACACTTTGTTTTAATTTTATTTCTTTGTTTGAAGATATGCACTGGTTAGAATCTGTGATAACGAAAAATGTGATTCATGCGCTCCTTGTTTATAAAGAAGTCAAAAAAAGCCGGAAATCAACGATTTCTAATTTGATCATGACAATAAATTATGTATTGTTCAATAATTAATTTTGTTGTTACGCATGCCACATGTAAATGACATAAAAAACATACTCCGTCATTCAAGATTAAGTGACTTTTTGTGCATTTTGAATGCACTGGTTTTCATAACCATATGAACATCTTAAGAACCATTTTTAGCGAAGTAAAAACAAAAGTACTTTCAGAAATGCATTAGAATAACTATTAACTCCAACATGACATAAATTAAGGTAACAAATAGTTTGTGATTTCTGTTCCTTTCAGAAAATACTTTCGTCTATAACCTCACTGAAGGGACAAGAGGGGAGGTAATTTGACAACTTCATTGGTCAACTAATCTCCCCTCTTGCCCCTTCAGTGAGGTTATAGACGTCCCTCTGAAACAATGTTGAAATTCAATAAAATTAATTGCCATCCATGATCAAATCTCGAAAGAGATAAGGGCAAGCTTGCTACTTACAGCGTAATATGTAGTCATATTATTCATAATCGGTTTTTCGTTTGTAAAATCAAAATTAACTTTAGAAATATTTATGGCTAGAAACGAAATACATATTTTCATATACGGGTGTCATGTTTTAATAGAAAACCTTATTTGGTTTAAAACCATCCCATCGTCATCTCGAGATTTACCAGATACGAGAAATACAAGTCACCAAACAAATCTTGGTATTGATCTAAACCTTATAAAATTCATGAATTGTGGTTATTTATTTATTTATTTATTAAAGTTTATCGTTGAATATTATTTTATTTGTGTTTATTTCTTATTATCTGGTAATGCTGGTTACCGTGTGTTGAAGATAGTTTACAAGATACCATTGAGAAAACCAGGTAAACTTATGCTTCAATTGTGGTAATGCATGCGTTTCTTTTGTTTTCGAGGGATTTTGTTTTCCGTTAAAAGGCGTTACTTACCTCTGCTCTTGCTCCCTCAGTTAGGTTAAAGACATGTTTTTCCATCTGAAACAATGTTAGAATACAACATGACCACACAGAGATCCAACGTACAATATTTTACTGGAGGGGGAAAAATTCTGGTTACGAAAAACATTCACCAAAACTATGAAACTCAGTCAGGCGACTATCCCGGTTAGTGTACACTTCATCCAGTGTGTAAAGTCACTCAACCTTGTAGGCGACTATCCCGGTTAGTGTACACTTCATCCAGTGTGTAAAGTCACTCAACCTTGTAGGCGACTATCCCGGTTAGTGTACACTTCATCCAGTGTGTAAAGCCACTCAATCGTGTAGTGCACCGTGCCTCATAGAGGAATAATGAAGCAGCAATTGTCACGTGCAGAACAATGTTGAAAACTTCGGCAATACTTCTCGTCATACCACTTGGTACTCTTGACAGATAAAACACATTGCCTTCTGCAATTTCATATCAATTTTTTTTTGTCTTTTAATTATGGTACGACTGACAGAAGTTCAGAGGGGCCAAGCGATTGCTTAAGCATTGAACTGTTTTTGGATGGTTTTTATGATCTATTTATGATCTATTTGAATGACACAGCTTTGCAAGCAAACAACATAATGCGCGCTAGCTGTGTCATTCAAATAGATCATAAATACCATACAAAAACAGTTCAATACTTATATTTACGTTTTCTATGCCTCTTATGTTCTTTTTTAACTTACAATTTATATTTAAAATATAAAATTCCCGCCTTATCGACAGTCCACACAAATTCGTTCAATAGTTGGAACAGCGTGTTGTCGCGTGCTGATTGGTAAACAAAGTAGTACTTTGAAATTTTAACAAACACTTCAATTTTATTCTTCAATTCAGTATCAATACAATTGCGTATGATATGTCTATAGGGTGATTTAAGTTTATCAATAAACTCTGAGCTGAAAGTTAGATTTGAAATTGTTTCGATTCTTCCCCGGAACAAAGGGCCGGTTTCCAAAACGGCCCCTTCTCTGATTCAAAATTTGTTGGTGGTCACTTGGTTTGTTTTTTATGGCTCCTCAAAGTTGTACCTTTCAGAAGCTGTCTAAGTGTTGATAAAATGTGCATGTTATGTAAAATATTAATGAAAATCTAATCAAATGATGGTCACCGTAAAGAATACATTCATGGCATGATTGTGACAAAAAATCATGTTTCCATCGCGCCATTTGGCTGTTTTATGGAAGAAACAATCTCAAAAATGCCATTTTCGATGATAACATTTTAGACACAAAAACTGTGTTTTTTAGAGAATACACCCTTTTATGGGCGTTGGATGCAAACCAATTTTTATCCTATTAAACAGTACGTAATATGCTATTGATGAGAGGAAAAATCATCAAAATGTAAGTGGTGGAACATTTTCAAATGTTGGGTTGAATTAGCCTATGGTTGAATTGCCGATTTTCGACTTTCTTTAGATAATTAACAAAAAAACGAGAGTATTTGCTCGGTATGTTGAGAATATGTACACAGATATGAAAAAAAGTGAGAGAAACACTTTTTCATAAAAAAAATCCAAGATGGCTACTTCACAAGTCCCCGTGGTTGAAGACATTGGCTGACAAATAGACAGAACAACAAACAAAACGTGTTCCTTATGATTTTGGTTGGTTTTCGCATTTACGGGAGTGTTCATAGCTACGGGCGATTGTATAATACCTATATTTATAAGTTTGGTTAGTCACATGGTAACGGGGATCTTTCATATCGAGCCCCAAACATACTTTCGACATATGCACTCCGTTGCCGCATGGAAAACTATTTCAAGTTTTGTCGGAATTTCTTTACCTGTGGTTGTAATGGTCGAGGGTTTTTCCAGCGTCCTGTAATAACCAAGGTAGTACAAGATACTGGAGATGTAACGCTTCCACGGCAACGTTTGGACAAAAGACAAATACACCTCTCTTTGCTGATATACGTGTATTCTTTACTGCCGCAGATCGCCGTAAACAACTACAAATACACAAAAGGGGCAAATAATCGGCACATTTGCATTATACAACATGGGTCGAATTGACTGACGGATGAATCGACACAGATTAGAACATAAACATTGAAAGACATTTACATTTTATGAGCCGCAAATGTGTACACATAAAAACATAGGAAACCTACGCTGTTATGGCGTATCAGAATCTTTGCGGGCGTCCCGGACGCTAAAGTGGGCGAAGTGATTGTCTTTGTACGTCCCAGACGTAAAAGATCACTTAAAAGACGAGGAGGTAAACAACTCATTTCCCCGCAGACTGCCGTCCGTCGAATGTTCTGTTACGTTTTGCACACGTTTTGCACACGTTTTTGGTACGACTAAAAACTGGAATGTTATGACGGAAATTAATTTTCCGGAAAAGTCACTCAGTCGCTTGGCGGCGTAACACTCCCCGCCTGACGTCCTTGACGTCACATCTCTAACTCGAAAACAAGTACACGATCTGAGTCACTGGCCTAACGTAAGTCACAATTTGTTCATTCCTCACTACTTGAAGTTCAACTTTCCGAACTCTTCCATCAGCGCTTGGAAACGTGCGAAGAATTTGTCCTAATGGCCAGTCGTACCTGACTGTGCCTTCCTCTTTGAGTAAAACAACATCCCCTTTCTGGATATTGTCTCTAGTGTCTATCCACTTCCGTCTCAACTGAAGCGAATGCAGATATTCGATCTGCCATCTCTTCCAAAATTGATTAGCCATGACTTGAACGAGTTTCCAACACGACTTGTACGCGTCCTTAATATCGATCTCCTCAAATGGTCCCAAATCAAGATCCGTTTTCTGAGTTAACAATGTCGAAGGAGATAGTATGGACGGTTGCGAAGGATCCACTGATACTGGTGTAATGGGTCGACTGTTGATAATAGCGCATACTTCACACATAAACGTACTTAAGGTGTCGTGAGTCAGATTTCTTCGTGATTCTGTCACAATGATTCCTTCAAGAATCCTTCTGGCCGTGCCGATGACCCTTTCCCAGACACCTCCCATGTGGGAGGCATGCGGTGGATTGAATACCCACGTAGATCCACTGTCTACCAAGAACTTCCTCATGGCAGGATTTTCGACGTTCACGGCGTTGATCTTGAGTGCGTCTGTACTGCCGACGAAGTTAGTACCTCGGTCTGAGTGGAACTCTGTAACCTTCCCCCGTAGTGAGACGAAGCGTCGTAGAGCGTTGATGAAGGCAGATGACGACATCTCTTCTACCAGTTCGATGTGCACTGCTCTACTGGCCATACAAGTGAAAAGAATCGCCCACCGCTTGGAGTTAGCTGCGCCTCCTCGAGTCTTTCTGGTAGAAACTTCCCATGGACCGAAAGTGTCGACACCGACATAAGTGAAGGGTGGTGTAGGCTTTGTCCGAAACTCTGGTAGGTCAGCCATCTTCAGACACACCAACTTCCGACGAAGTTTCCTGCAATTGACACATGCATGAATGACAGATGACACAAGTCTCTTGGCTCCGAGTATCCAGTAACCTGCTGATCTGACTGCGCCCACCAAGATGTTCCGTCCTTGGTGTCGCGTCTTCTCATGAAGATGGAGCACGATCAGACGAGCCAGATGAGTCTTCCCCGGAATTACAATAGGTCCATGTTGTCCAGACAAAGCATCCCCTGTGCGAATTCTACCACCAACACGTATAACTCCATCGTCATCCAAATAGGTGTCCAAATACCTCAATGGGCTATCTTTTGGAATTGGCTTCTTACTGCCGAGATTGGCAATTTTCTGACCAAAGTTTTCCTCCTGAAGAATCTTTACGAGAAAGATCTCCGCCGATCGGTACAGTATGGTATAGTGCTCTGGGGAGTGTCCATGTCTTTTCATTACACAATTCTGTAACCAGAGGAGTCCACGAATTACCGATTTCCACGAGGAAAACCTGTCGAACCTTGATAGTCCTAAAGACCTGCTGACTGTCGTCCTCATTGTTTTCGACCTGATTTCCTTGTCATCCTCTGGATTCTGTAGTGGATAGTCCAAACCCCTATTGAGACTTGCAGTGTTGTGCAGAAAGCTAGGGCCATTTAACCACGCTCCGTCTGCAAGTTCATCAACCGTACATGACCTCGTTCCAACATCTGCTGGGTTCTGGTCCGAAGACACATGACTCCACTCTTCGGGTAACGTTTCCAATTGAATGCGCTGAACACGATTCGAAACGTAAGTATGAAAACGCTTTGACCTGTTGTAAATGTATCCGAGCACTACACGACTGTCTGTGTAGAATTTCCTCTCGTGAATAGTCACATCGAGCTGTTTGCTGACAAACCGAGCAATTTCTGTCGCTAAAACCACTGCGCAGAGTTCTAGGCGTGGTATGGTATGTCCATGACACGGAGCGAGTTTCGACTTTCCTAAGGCGAATCCAACAAACGTATCCTTATCACTGACAACACGAAGAAAGGAAACTGCAGACACTGCCTTCTCCGAGGCATCTGAGAATGTATGTAGTTCAGTCCTGTCGCTCTCCTTGAGCGACATAGGAACAAATAGCCTTGGTATATTTACATTGGACAAATGATGTAGAGAGTAACACCAGTTTCTCCATTTAATGTCAATCTCCAGTGGGACTGCATCATCCCAACCTACTGAGGAGCTCACAACATCACGAAATATAAATCGCCCTTGAAGAATCACAGGGGACAAAAATCCAAGAGGATCGTAGAGGCTATTTAAACCTGAAAGTATCTCTCGCTTAGTCAGCTGAACGAGTGGATCTTTTGGCGAGAATTTAAATACAAATTGTCCGACTCCAGGTTCCATCCTAGACCAAGACTACGTTGAGTAGGAGCAGAGCTCAGCTCGAGGTCTATGTCGCTGAGATCTTTGGCTCTATCTTCTGGCGGAAGAGCGTTCATGACGTTTGGGTCATTTGAGGCAAATTTATGAAAGCGTAGTCTCCCTTGTTTCATCAACGTTGCCTGAGTACGCAGGAGAACATCCAAAGCTTCCTCTCCTGTAGTAAATGATACCACGCCGTCGTCTACATAGAAGTTTTTGTCGACAAACTCCTTGATGTCAGCATCACACGATTCTCCACTTACGCACTTCCGTAAGCAATATGTTGCTACTGCTGGTGAAGGAGAGTTCCCAAAGAGATGAACGCACATGCGGTAGTCTATCAAAGGTTTCTCTGTATTGTTGTCCTCGAACCAAATGAAGCGTACAAAATTCCTATGGTCTTGCCTAATTTTGAAGCTATGAAACATCTGCTCTATGTCACCAATGACTGCAACACGTTCTTTGCGAAATCTCAGCAGAATGCCTAACAAGCTATTAGTAAGATTTGGCCCAGGTAGAAAAACAGAGTTGAGCGACTTTCCAGTGAACGAGGCAGATGCGTCAAATACCATACGGATCTGTGTCGGTTTGCGAGGATGGTAAACTCCGAATATTGGCAGAAACCAACATTCCTCTCCTTCTGCTAGAGGTGGAGCCTTTTCAGCATGACCATTCTTGAGCACACGGTCCATAAACTTAACGGCGTCATCTTTTTTCTTTGTGTTTTTCTTGAAGCTGGAAATAAGAGAATGCATCCTCTTTACGGCTTGGTCACGATTATTGGGTAAGTTGGGTCTCTCTTTTCTGATGGGTAAAGGTGCTGTCCAATGACCATCCTCGTCTCTGTAACATTCGTTTTCCATGATATGGAGGAATTCACGATCTTCTACAGATAAACCCAGTTCATCGTCTTCACGGGTACGCTCGAAGATAGGATCCTGCTTATTGCATTCATCCAGATCACTGTTGGTTTCTATAACCTTGCAATGTGTCGGGCATGGAGGAAAGGTAGTACATCGACCCGACGAAAGAATGTGCGTCTTATTCGCAACTACAACTGAAGGTTGATGAACCTTGCCAAGGCAGCACTCCCCGATGATAGCCCAGCCAAACGGAAGTTTCTGCGCAAAAGGAGATCCACGAGGACCTGTTTTCTGAGACGACACATGATGTGCATCTGCATGATCACGACCGATCAAGAGCAATATGTCAGCAGCTTCGTCGATATTCGGAATCTCCGTTGCAATATCAGACAAGTGAGGGTAAGCTCGAGCTTCCCCAGGGGAAGGAATCTCTTCCTTGTTATTCGGAATGTCTTCGCATTCTATTACTCTAGATAAGTTTACAATATTTCCATCACCAATAGGTTCAACGACAAAGTTCGATCCACATCTACCTGTAACTGATACGGTACCACTGCATGTGGATAAAGTGTACGTAATTGATGTTGAACATGTCGAAGAACTTTGGTCTTGCCAAAGTCTGGCTACTCTGGTCGTCCAGAATAGCATAGAGTCTCCTTGACTGATCTCTGCATCCTGCAGGATAAACACTAACTAAGAGAGTTTTAGCACATGATTTACCGGGAAACTTGTCACCACATATTAAAGTACATTTATTGTCAATAATATTGTCTTTAGGTACAGTTTCTTTCTGTCGAACAGATTTCTCCCCGCCGTCCTTTTCCAAGGGATGGAGAGCAGTAGCATGACTCGCATTACAAGTATCACATGTTATCTTTGCATTACAGTTCCTTGCGAGATGATTGGAATCACAGCAGCGATAACACAAGTTATTCTCCTTGAGAAATCTCTTTCGATCCACAATAGGAAGTAGGCGGAACTTCCGACAGCGTCTCACATCGTGGAAGTCACTGGGATGAAGGGGACATTTCTTCAAATCCTTTGAGTTAGAAATGTTGCCCTGCTGGACCTTCACGGTATTATCTAATTCTGTTTTCCTTGTATGAACAGGAATGGGCTTGACATCGACTCTCTTAGGACCTTTGTCTTCATACTGAAATCCTGGATCGTTCCGAATACGACTTAGGTCCTGGATGAATTGTACGAGGACGGTGAATGGCGGATAAGGTACTCCAAACTTCGCCTTGTATTCGGATGCCTTCGACGTCCATTTTTCGCGCCATGGATGCGGTAGCTTGGAGACAATAGGTATGATTCCCACAGGAGAGTCATAGTAAGAAAACATGGTACCATACTTTGGATTCTTCTTGATTCCATCGATTTGAGTAAGAATATCCGCCAGGTCAAAAAGCTTTTTACTGTCCTTGACCGTGAGTGAGGGAAACTTGGCCAACTTTCCCTTTAAGGAACTGTCTATAAATTCTGCTGCCCCATATCGATCTTTTAACCGGCTCCATATCATACGAACCCCTTCAGAGGGGTTGTCTGCATTGGCCTGTCTAATGTTGCTTGCAAACTTAGAGGATTCTGGTCCCAACCACCGTACCAGAAGCTGAATTTCCTCAAATGGTGATACTGATAATTCGCGAATAACCGATTCAAAGTTCATCTTCCAAGCATTATAAGCTTCTGGTTCGTCCGTGAAATTGGTAAACCTGCTAATCGTGAGCTCTTTCTTCATCAAGTAGTTGGAAAATACGGTTAAGTTATCTGCTATCTGTGGAGGGGGTGTAGTCTCCATTGGATTAATACCACTCAAATGACAAGTCGTTGACATCATGGGGGGTGGAATTGTAGGCGGCGCATAACTTGAGGTGGCCGTAGCCTGTGTAGTCCCAAGTGAGAATGTAGGAGCTGTTGTCACAATAGGGTGCGTTGCTGATGCGCGATTAATTAAAGCAATGCATGGGCTATGAGTTCCGGTTTGAGGAATTGCTGGCGGGTTCACACTGTACGACGGGTATGAACCTGTAGGCGGCATATTGGTAAGAGGTGGTCCATCAGCCGTGCTGATCCCACTTAGATAATTCTCCACTTTCTCATCTCTGCTCAAGAGCCACATGTCTGGCACTGAATAGCGGCTACTGCCATCAGAATCATCATCATCCTCACGTATCTTGGCTTCCGCCACAGCAACCACTTCGGATTGTTTCAGTATCTGTATCTGCCCCTCTATCTTCACCTTTTCTTGTTTGAGTTCCATTTCCTTTTTAATAAATTCTAATCGTGTTTTCTCAAGAGCAGCATCCATTAATTGCTTTTTCCGAACAGACGATTTTGCTGTTTTGTTACTGGAATGAGTTAAAGAAGCTGTTTCAACCTTTACTAACAATGCTTCATCAATACGTCGTTGTAGGCGAGATATAACGGTGCACTTCCTTACAAATTCCTCGTTGTGTGAGGCCAGATCCTTTATACTTTCCTCCGACCTAGTGGTTTTTAGAAAACCTGCTAGTTTATATGAAATGTCCAAAAATTCCTTTTTTGAATTCTGAACATCACCTTTGAGTTGACGCAAGGCATTGATTTCTAATTCACCCTCATTTAAGTCAGTCACTATAGATTCTACGCGTAACCATGACCTATCCATTATTAAACGCAATTTATCTAATGTTTGTTCGTAGAGACTTTGACCATCTTCGGTCAACTTGCGCACCCGCCCGAGATCAGACCTTTCATCAAAAGTAGCATTTGAGTCAATTTGATCACTTGAATCGGACTTAGCGTCCAAGCCGGACGGATTACTTGGCTGATCCTTGTTTTCCTCCATTATAGCATTATTCGTAGTGAATTTCAATACAAACTGTATACAAATTTGAATACACACTATGGAGTATTACTACACAAGTACTTATACAACATAAACCTAACATGAATATTTTTCACACAATATCAATGCATAAGACATCATAAAGATGCATATATGATAACATATGTCTCTGTATAATTGTACGTACATACATATATGTATAATGCCCCTACAGAAAATATGACTGATCAAAGAAACCTCATTTGGCTCTGGTTGTTTCTAAAATACCAATCTCAAATTCAATACACATATATATAAAATTTAAAATACAAATATCAAATTCAGTACATATGTGAAATCAAACTAATTTCAATATCAACCAATGAATTATGTCAACATGAAATGTAATGGCAACAGGAAGGTATGTAATTGTGCAAATCAAATATAACTGATACCTGGATGCATGTTCGCGAGCAAGCTATAATAATCAGAAATCCAATCTAATTCACTCGAACACTTACAAAATTGCCTACTTGGCAATATCAAAGCAATTACCTTTGAATTGTGTTAAGTTCACCAACATAACTAATGATAAGCTCTTTACAGTGTTCAATTTTCAATACATTTACCAATTTTATTATTCATTGCTGATAAATTTTCTTCAAATCTTAATCAGATTAAGTAAACCCAAATGTCAACACTTTATAAAATTCACACAAAGTTCAGTCTCTGAACACTTCACATGTGGTGATGTTCTAGTGTAACACTGAGTCTATCTTCACAAGGAAAGGAGTCTGCTGACTGAATGGAAGTCCCTGACATCCATCACTAAGGCTGACCAGACTACTCAGGCTATGTTAAGCAAGGAATCTTCATCTTATGCTGGTAACAGCTTGTTTACTGTAACGCTGCCACGGCAATGTTTGGACAAAAGACAAATACACCTCTCTTTGCTGATATACGTGTATTCTTTACTGCCGCAGATCGCCGTAAACAACTACAAATACACAAAAGGGGCAAATAATCGG